CGATTTTTGTGGGGCCTTTTGAGGTCGCCATGGTGGCTTTTGAATGGCCTCTGGAGCTGGACTTCACCTGCGCCTTCGTCGCAGACGATCGCTGCCTCGGCTGGGTCAGCAACAACAACAGGAAGGTGGCCGGCGGGCGCTTCGAGTCTAGGAGGGAGCTTTGGACCCTGATCGGAACGGCAGACTACTCCTACCATCTCTTCGAGAAGTTCGGCACGGGGGGCTACAAGAAGATTGCCCTCAGGGACTTTCTGGACAGCTTCGGCAAGCTTGTCGGTCGAAACCTGCATGAGTGCGGCCCGGAAGCTGTTCGCATCATGCACTGGGAGGCCGGGGTCGAAGCCAACACGCCTCCATCAGACGCTGGCTGCCTCTGGGACGCCGAGAAGTGCCTGGGATGGTGTGGCCCCTGGGCCACCTTTGCTTCTGCGGAAGGTGCCAAGGGTTCCTCTCCAAACTCCAGTCGCTCCTGAGGAGCTCTCCCGCATGCCTCCACCTCAGAACACAGGAAACCCTAAACCCTAAACCCTAAACTCTAAACCCTAAACCCTAAACCCTAAACCCTAAACCCCAAACCCTAGACCCTAAACCTAGCTTGCGCACACGACCGAAGGCGCTGCGCTGTCCGGCCGCTGTCTGGCGGAAGTCGTGGCCGCAGGGGGCCCTGCAGAAGGCTACCCCGAGGGCCCCTGGCGCGACGCAGCCGCTCAGGTCTTAAGGAAGACATGGGAGTTTCTGAAAATTAGGGGTACCTTATTTAGGGGTCCTTATAATCAGGATCCTACTATTAAGGGTACTATATTAGGGTCCCCTATTTTCGGAAACCCCCACATCGTAGGGTTTGTGAAGGTTTATGTTGTATGGTAGTATGGTGCAAACTATGGGGCTATTTCCGCTGTCTGTTGTGCCGCATGAAGCAAGCTGTTGGGCACGTGGGAGCCGCGCTATTGGGGATCAGGGGCTTTTTTGGGGGGTGTTAGAGGCTTTTGGTGTTGGGTTGGGTTTTTATGGGCTACTTAGGGTATAGAAGGACGAGGATCTGGTTTTAAGTCTTTGGAGGACTGTCATGAGCTTGGCTTCTTCCGTGTGTTTTTATTTCACAATGACCTGTCTCGGCATGTATCTCTCAACCGCAACCTGACACTTCAACTATGCAGCGCAGCCTAGGCCCTAAACCCTAAACCGTTAAGCCCTAAACCCTAAACCCTAAACCGTTAAGCCCTAAACCCTAAGCCCTAAACCCTAAACCCTAAACCCTAAACCCTAAACAGTACCGTGCTTCCTCCATTCCTGGGTTCTCTGCCAAGGCCTGCCGCCTTCGCCCTGGCTATGTCCGTCTGAGCCAAGGCTTCTTCTACGTGCCAGGAGACCCTAAACCCCCAGAGAATCCAATATGCCTTAATTAAGGAATATTCCTTAAACTCTAGTAGGATCCTTAATTAAGGACTATTCCTTAAATCATATTAAGGATCCTACTATAATTTAAGGAATATTCCTTAAACTATAGTAGGATCCTGAATATGATTTACGGTGTATTCCTTAATTAAGGGATATTGGAGTTTCTGGGAAAACCCTAAACCCTAAACCCTAGCGACACCCGAAAGAAGATGCGGGTAGTTCTCTAAACTAAGGTGCCTTCTAAGGTCCTTTTTAGAGGGTGCCGTACTATTTCGTGGACCTGAGAACGATGCATGTGGGCTGTGGTGTAAGGTACCTGACAGAGAATCCTGATGAAAAGCAGCCGCCATCTGTTCGAAGCTTCAGGCAGTTTAGTAGGTATCCCTAAACCCTAAACCCTATAGTCTTTAAGGTGAGACCTGAAATACACCTTTGCGCAGCTATTGATTTTTGCAAAGTTTCCATGAGAGGAAACCCTAAACCCTAAACCCTAAACCCTAAACCCTAAACCCTAAACCGTCAGAGAGCCCCAGAGAGGAGCTCCGAACCCCTTGGTTTCTATCGATCCGCCTGCAACGGCTGGCACTGAGGACCCAAGTTGCTGGTGCTTCGGGTTTAGGCTACGGGGTTTAGGGTTTAGGGTATAGGGCCGAGTATAGGGTTCACAGGGTATGGGGTTTAGGGTTTAGGCACCAAGCCCTAAACCTTAAACCCGAAATCCAAAGCCAAAAGGGTTTCGGGTTTTAAGGTCTCGGTCTAGCTTGTAAGGGATTAGGCGTTTAGGGTTGGGGGTTTAAGGTTAAGGGTTAAGTTTAGGTGTTTAGGGTTTAGGGAACAAGAAGAATCATGACTAAACATATCGAGACCTGGTGCTGGGATCCGTCGTTCCCTCTGAAGTGACACTAAAGGACCACGAACGGTTTTGGAACGCTATGGGTGGATACTGGATCGACCGGGACGGGTACGAGAAGGGCAGCCAGAAAGGAGGGAAGAGCAAGGGCAAAGGCAAGAGCTGGAGGCATCTTCGAGAAGCGGAGATTGACATAGGGTCTAGGGTTTAGGGTTTTGACAGTCCATGCAGATTTCAACTCGTCAATACTGTCAGTGACCATCAGTGTTGGGCCTAACTCTACCCATCTGAGATGTGCTGCACGGCAGTCAGCTTTTTTCTGTGCCAACTCGGATCGACTGAGTCTTGATTTGCGTTTCTTGGAGAGCCTTGATCCTTCTAACCTATGTATATTATGTATAGTATGGTTATATATAACATGGAACCCCCCCCCCCCATAATACTAGAACAAATAAGGCCCCCATATTACCCAAGCTTTCCAAGCTGATTTTTTGGCCCTCGCGAAAGAGATCACAAGAACCCAAAGAACAGCCGTCGTAAATCCGGCTCCGGCGCTTGGGAAGGTCGTAGGATCTTTAGTCATGGGACCCAAAGAGTTTAGGGGTTCCTGGTTTAGAGTTGAGGGGTTGAGGGGTTGAGGGGTTTAGCTGTTTAGGGTTCTAGGGGTTTAGGGTTTAGGCTTTTAGGGTTTAGGGGTTAGGGGTTTAGGGGTTCAGGGTTTAGGGTTTAGGGCAGCTCGTGGGGAGAGCTGGGATGCAGTCCGGCAGGCAGCGATGAGACATCAGACCGGAGCTGCCCCATCGGCTTCATCGTGGCCCAAACTGTATAGATCACCTTGGAGTTGTCGATTCGGGGTTTCCTGTTGACGCAAGGTATTCTGTGTAGATCTTGCAGGTTCTTTAACAGGAACCCTCATGTAGAGCAACTCTTGCGTGTAAGTTCTGCTGCGCCTGTACAGATGGGCTGAGTTTGCTTCGAGGCATCTCGCTCGTTCTTCGCGCGGCCAGGGAAGCAGAGCCTTCGCTCACAAGATCTCGCCATCATGTGCCATATTTCCCACCGCCAAGAACTGCTAGCGACTTCGCAAGTAGAGTTTGCTTTGTGTCCCGACTCGCTGAGACTCGCTGCGTTGATACTTGCGAAGTCCACTCAGTTTCCAGACTTGGCGGCGGCTTGCCCGCAAGCCCGTCGACAGAAGCCGACTGTCTCGTAGCAGTCCGACTGAAAAGTTTCCAGCCTTCAGGGTCGAAGAGCTAGATTTTGCCAGATTCGGTCATGCCTGGAGGGGCGGTGGGGCAAAGGTTGGGATTGCCCAAAGCCCCAGACCCGAAACCGTAAACCCTAAGCCCTTAAGTATTGGACCGAGACCGCTTGTTCACGGTTTTGGGTTGTGGGCTTGGGATCACACGCTTGGCTTGGGGACTGAAGCATCAGGGTCTTGGGGGTTCAGGATTTGGGCTCGCAGGGCTTGTTTGGGTTTTCGGGGGTTTAGGGTTTCGGTTTTTGGGTTTAGGGCGGATAGGCTTGAGGGTTTCGGGAGTCATTTTTGGCCCACCGCAGGTTGTTTGGGTGTTTCGAGACATGGGATTTCTGTCCCTCTGAACTTCCGCCATGAGTAAGATTGTGGGTTTAGGGCTTAGGGGTTT